GACACAGTGCATGACCTAGACGGAACACTGGACACAGCGATGCTCCTCTCACGTGATTCATTCACGTCAATTCAACGTCCAGAAACCTTGGTATCGACATCATCGGTTGGTCAACAACAGCAGACCAATCAGTCGGTGCCATCATCGTTGGCAGTTAATCATGGATCCAAGTCTGGTAAAAGTGTACTGTCCACTTGCATGGCTTCAGACTATAGTTGGGACGTGAAGGGTAAGCGAAAACTCTCTCTCGCCTCTTCTGTTTTATCGTCGTAGGTCGAAGAGTGAATTTGTTACTACTTGTGGGTTTCTTTTCTGTAACAAATATCATCCAATTTTATTTGCTCACTTACACTGTGTGTGATTGCTTAACCAGTGAGCCGCATCCACCGTCACCACGATAAGGTCGTTGACTAAGTAGGATTGCTTTATCATATAACATTTGGAGGACGCACTCTGAGACCGGTGTTCTCATTTTTTGAACATATTTCCCGTCCGGTGGTTTATCTCTTTCAACTAGCTGATCATCAACTCTACTCTAAAGAGCTAATAAATCTATATTGGAAAAAAATGAGATATTTCTTACCGGTTTCACCATATGTACTTTCGAATTTCGGTTTGATTATAAGTACCCTACCACCTGCAGCTTTTAGCTTTGAAGTTCTCCAAATCAGTCAGCTGTACTTTAGGCATTTGCTGGTTATTAGCCCTTTTTGATTAACCGACAGATTTAAGTGAATTATTCTAGCTAGTCTTTGAGATCGCCCTGTTTTGCCCAAAGGAGGCCGGATCATCGATCGAGCTTTCCAGCACTCGTGTTAAGTGAAGCAACACTGTTTGTTTGACCTAGACACTGAGACTTCATCATTTTCGTTGGAGAACGAGTGAATGTGACAACGACCAGAGGGGAGGGGGGAGTTCTAGCCACACCCGCTTAAGAGATCGAGAGGAGACATGTGGTCTTCATCTGTACCTTTGATCATCAACATGTCGCGCGTGTGTATCCCTATCTGAGCCCACATCAGCCCGCGAAAAGTTCTTTAAGCAAACCAAAGACTTAAAGAGCAATACCCCCCCACACACACACCAAAATCGTCCACAGTATTTGAACCGTATTTTGGATTCTCTATCGCGCATGGCTATCTGGATCACGTGATCGATGGAACGGGGGGGGGAAGACAGTTGTTTCATATCATCATGTTTTTTCTTTCTGTTATTCGCACTTCGTGTTCCTAATTTATGTTGAAGCTACTGCAACGAATTTCAGAATTATTTCGCTGAATATTTTTCAATTTCATCTTCTATGTAATCTGTTGCCATTCTCTGACTGGAACTAAGAGAAATATGCTCGTAATTTTGCTCCAATTGTACAGGTTTGGATGCGTGGAATGGCCTCTATCCCGCATGTGATCGACGGACGCGACCAGCCACCACCGGGCCCAGTTCTAGTCGTAGTCGATTGCCTCACTCGGATAGTGTCGCATTTGGTGCTTCCGAACACAGATTGGACACACGTCGAGCAAGTCTCTCTACCGGTCTGCCATTCGATGTGCACGATCTAGTCCCGCCAGGATTGAATTCCATGCGTTTCGATTCGCCAGATCCCATGGTCGCTGCAGCAGTTGCTGCGGCTGCTCACGCTGCTGCTGCAACCGCATCTGTTTACGGGAATGCTTCTACGGTCCCGCTCGGGATGTCAAACGTACCCGGGGTGATGGATTCGTCCAGGAGACCGATTCTGGCCCCAGCCGGAGTGACTTCTTCCGCCTATTCATTGTTACAACCCCCGGAAACAACTCAAACAACAACCGGAACTTCAATGCGGTTTGTAACCAACGGAGCTAACGGGAACACTCTGTCCGCACCGCAACAAGCGCGCCACGGAACTTGGTCCACAAACTGGCCTTCCAAATCACCCACATTACGTGCAACGAATAACACAGAAGTGAGCACTTTACAACTATTTGCCTATTCCGTTTTGAATGTCAATGTTTCACCGATAACTTGCATTATTGTTTTGTCACGAAACGTTAAGTTGTCCCAACTGTTTGAGTATAATAGGTACTTCGATCGATACAATATAAAGAACTCTCTCGTAAATGAGCTTGGTGCAGCTTTTGCTGACATAGACAGTAACTTGGAGTGCACATAAATAGGTGAAATCTAGGACAAGTGGGTCGGGTCACATATAGGTCAAAAACATCCATTTATATGATTGAATTAACCGAGTGACTCGTATCTATCTGATTGCCCATACCTTTTTCTGGATAAAACTGTTGCAATATTTTTTCCAAACAATTCTATTGTCGTCCCCTAATGCGATCATCAGCTCACGATTTGAGCAAAAACCTAACGAAGTCAACTTGTTTTCAGTGTTTCCGGCCATCCCAATGTTGTTTTTGCCAAATAATGTTTATGGATGGGTGGGTATTAATCTTTCCTTTATCACGGTTGTGGTCGCTGTTAAGTTCACTGTTAGTCTGGTCAATATCCCATTTGAAGGACCTCAAATGTTTCACCACTACTATCCTGACGGCTCAAGTTCCCGGTCAGCAGCGTCACGATAAAGTTTAACCTTTCTGTTGTTTGTGATGTGCGTAATCAACTAAGCTGATTAACCAGGTGAATTGTTTTGCATAAGATTGTGGTGTCACAACGAAACGGAGCCCTCCTAGATTACCCAAGTCAAATGTATCTCCTTAGTTGTTGACAACGAACACCCTAGGAATAAAGCATTCAAATGAACAGATGCACGTGGTGAACGCTATGCATTCGATTGGAAAGTCGACTTGTGCTGTCTCGCATCTCTCTCTCGACCGCATCATCCAGGGGTGGGTAGTCTTACACTGTATGCTCCATATTTTACATACTGTTTTCTGGTCGTTAATGCACAGGCTCCTATGATTTGCATTTTCTTCCGCTTACAGTCTATTTTGTTTGAATTTTATCCGTGTAGAACTATCGTCATGGGAATACACACAAACGGTACAATCACGCCGGTGCTCATTCTTTTTCCCGTGCTGGAACCGATTCTCGTAACGGGGATATGCCTATGTTCTCCACAGCACCAGTGAACAATCGATCGGTAACTCGAGGTGGTTCTCCGGGAAATTCGGCCTTTCCGTCCTCATCAAGATACGGCCATGGTTACAACTCAACCTCCAATTTCACATCATCGTCCTCATCCTCGGTCGCATCGTCTGGTGTTCCTTTGTCTTCTCCGTCTGCCTCGTCTTCCTCTTCTTGTGGCTCC